ATAAAAATTGTATAAAAAAATTATCTATAACTAATGTAAAAACTTATATAAGTTATATTAATGTAATTAACTAGATGTTGATTATTTTTTAATATTTTTTCTTACCTAAACCAAATTATCATATCTTAAAAACTGATCACAAAGACAGAAATAATTCCTTTATCTTAATCCTAAATATTTCTTTTATATTTGAAATGGTCCCAATAATTCAAAACCTCAAAAAACAAAATTTTGTAAAAAATAAAAATTAGTGTACCATATTTGAAAATTTTCAAAAGCTTAGGGGGGGCAGCTGGCCCCCCCTTGTCCTACATTGGCTCCGTCCCTGCTTAATGACACTCATGGAACAAGCTAGTTACATGGTGCAACCTGCAATGCTGACTCACATTGCATTCGATATTCTTTTCCTGCTTTCTACTTTTCCACTTTCTCCGGCCATATACAGGGCACAACATCAACTGTTCTTCAGGTTACATCCTCGATAAAGATATATGCTGATATGCCTTTCTTTGTTTGTGAACGAGGCAAAGAATACCGAATCTCTCTTTACCTCTTCTTGCATCCATCCTTTATTATATATAGTTAAATCTTGTCTTGCATTTTCCCTCACTGCCAACATTGTCGTCTCTCTGCTGTTTCTGCCAGTCGATCTGTGAGTATTATTTTATCATAGCATTTTTTTTATTTGTTTTATTTTTCCTGAAGTAATCTTGTTATGGATTACGGTATTTAGATGCCGTCATTTTTTACGATCTTATCTGATTCCGTTCTTTTTTTTATTATTATTTATATCTTAATTTATTTACAGTACATAATTAGGATATGCATTTCGTTTTCTATAAATTTTATTATTATTATTCTTAGGACTTTATTCAAAGGATTCTAACCTCTTAAGACAAATTATCGTATGCATATACTCTCTCTTTATAATATATAAATAATAATTGATTTTATTTTATTAAGTTAAATTACTCAATAAAAATTACATACAAAAAAAGAAATAAATTAGTATCATTATTCATAATGTGATACTCTCTTTCTTCCACTTTAATAAACTTAATTTTCAATTTAGACATTTAAATTTAGACTCTTTTAGTATAGGTTTTTTTTTTTTTTTTGAATGTTAGGGGTAGAAATTGAACTTCACACCTCCAAGTTTTAAAATGAGAAGTCATTTACAAGGATGACATAAGCTATGAGGCCACAAGGACGTTCTCCTTTTTAGTATAGTTTTGGTTTTAGTATAAATTTAAATTTTTATACTCCCTCAATTCAATTTTAATATACCTAATTTTTTATTTGAGATGTTTAAATTTAGTTGTTTACTTTTCCTTTTTAGAAGATTATTTAATACATTTATTCCTAACTTATTCTCATTTTAAGAGATAATTATAATATATATTAAATAAGAAGTCTTATTTAAGTGGTATTTAATTAAGGATAAATAGAAAATTTTATTAATAAATTATTATATTTTTATCTTATTAAACAAAAAAACTAGATTTACTAAAAATAAATGAATGGAGTAATAAATTTTGATTTTTAAATATAGTAATAGTTACCGAATATATAAAAAATGAAAACTCAAAATCCAAAATTAAAACCATAATAAAGGGAGTTTTAGTTGTCTACTTTTTCTTTTAAAATGTCATTTAATACATTTATTTATATTTTACCTTTATTTTAAAAAGATGATTATAACATACTCAACATTTGAATTTAGTTATTTGTTTTGTAGAATGTTATTTAATATATTTATTTCCATTTTACCTTTTTTGCAAAAAGATAATTACAATATATATTAAATAAAAAATCTTATTTAAGTTATACTTAATTAGAAATAAATATAAAATTTTATCAATTAATTATTATATTTTTATTTTATTGAAATAAAATTAAACCTACTAAAATTAAATTTAAATAGAGATACTAGTATAAAAGATATGTTAAAAGAATAATGATAAGAAAGGCTAATAAGGGGAATGATTTCATGGAACGAATCTATAGTGCCCTGCCACCTCAGCAATATATTAATAAAATAAAGTTCACATGTGCCTCACCCCCTTTCTGCATTTCTCCATGTTTTCGCAATACTTTCCTTGTTCTAGGTTCATCCAAATTCAAGTTCTCTCTTTCAAATCTTCATCCTTTGCCTCTATTTCGCACGTCTCCCTTGCAAAGACTAATTATAGATTTAGAGTTTCTACTAGTTAGGGTCCAATTTTACCAAACAGTTAAGGTTTAGTTTTTATTCTTCTTCTCTTTTTTTTTTTTTTTTCTTTTTTGAAATTTTAAGGCCATGGCTATGGGGTTTCGATTATTAGGATAGGGTTAAGCCTAGTCCTTGAGTTTGATGAAGTCCACTGGAGGAGGAGCTTGGCAAAAAACGAGAGATGAGAGAGAAAGATCAGAGATTTTGAAAGAGCAAAAAACAGAAAGGAGACAGAAGATAAATTGGTAAAAATAACTTAATTTAAAATTTTTAAAAATTAATAAATTAATAACATGGCTTGCCATGTCAGTGGCGCTATAAATTCGTCCCATTTATTCATCCTCTGTCTAATTGCCCTATGTCAAAAGTTAACCAAAGAAATCAAATTAAGACAACTAAGGCTTGTTTGAGAGT